AAAAAAGCACTCCATCCCCGTCGGATATACCTCCACAAGCTCACCCCATAAGAACCACGATCCTCAAATGTACACCATCCCCCCTTCGTTACACCATACTTCGCCCCAATTATTTCTCTCCAGAAGCTTTCCCTCTCCACTCCAAATTGCCACAACCACTTGCCCAATAAGACTTTATTGAACAACACAAGGCTCCTCATCCCAAGACCCCCCATTCTCATCGGCAAACAAACAACTCCCCAATTGACCAAATGGAGTCTCCTCTCCTCTCATCTCCCAACCCTGCTCACATAAATTCTCTTTGAAGCCTCTCTAATCTCTTTGCCACTGCAATCGGAATGGGGAACAATGACAAAAAGTAAGTAGGGAGATTGAAGAGAGTGGATTTAATGAGAGTAAGTCTACCTCCCTTAGAAAGGTACATATGCTTCCACCTTGCTAACCTTCTCTCCATCCTTTCCACAATACCATTCCAGATATGGGTACTTTTAAATCGTACCCCTAACGGGAGTCTTAGATATGACATCGGCAACTGTGCAACCTTACAACCCAATATATCAGCCAGCTCCTTGACATTATTGACCTCCCCAACTGGAATAGCCTCAGACTTTCCCAAATTGATTTTCAAACCAGACACTGCTTCAAAACATAAGAGCAGACGGCGCAAGTTCCTGAATTGTTCAACATCTGCATCGCATAAGATCGACATGTCATCTGCAAATAACAGATGAGACACCTGCAATTGGTCAACCATAAAACCCCACGACTTTTACGATCAGAATTCAACCTGTTTGGTTTCCAATCAACGGGTTTACCGTGAAGTTTCCAGTACTTTCCTCGAAGATGTCCAAGGTGACGACAGTAATCACACCATGGCCTTCCTTTGTAAGGGTGATTGTCACTTCCCTGATTGTTGTCTCCATGAGCGGTAAGGGCAGAACTTTCAGTTGGGGCAGTGATCCCTTGACTTCCCATCATGACCTTCCTCCTACTTTCTTCTTTTTTGACCTTTAAAAATGATTCACGGAGAGAGGGCAGAGGTCTAGTTCCCAAAATTCTTCCTCTTACTTCATCAAGATCTTTGTTCAGGCCGAGTAGGAATTTAAAAATTCTTTCTTTCTCCACAATAATGCGGTATTTCTTTCCGTCTTGAGGACACTCCCACGAGATATCTTCGAACATGTCAAGTTGTTGCCAATATCGAGTGAGAAGATTAAAGTAATGAGTTACGGAGTTATCACCTTGTCGAAGATTATGGAGAGTTCCTTTAATTTCAAAAAGTTCAGAGGTGTTTTCATTGTCTGAATAGGTTTCTTTCACACTATCCCAGATTTCTTTTGCAGTTGAATAGAACATGAAATTTTGGCCAATCTCGACATTCATTGTCTTGATTAGCTAGGACATGACTATGTAATTTTCAGATTTCCACCTTTTGAATTTGGGATCAGCCGTGGATGGTGGCTTCGCAGTTTCTGTGAGATAGTCATCTTTCCCTTTGCCGATGATATTCATCATGGTTGATTGAGACCACTGGAGATAGTTCTGTCCATTGAGTTTATGCCCAACAATGGGAATGATGGAATATTCAGAATTTCCATGAGGGGTAGAGATGATGTCCTTTGCAGCAGAGGTTATATCAGATGAAGATTCTTTTTCGGAGGCCATCTCAGATTTAGGGTTTCAGATGGGTAGCTCTGATACCATTTAGAATAAGATGGTGAAATGACTTATCTCACATTAATGACAGAGAATGCTGAATATATACAAGTACAGGAAGAGAAATCACAGGCTGATTCACATTCCTTGATTCTAGCTACTAATTTAGGAAAATAATATGTCTAACATGTCTAACCAAATCAGAGAAAAACAGGAAACTACTACAGCTAAATATAATTACATAAATACATATGACACGTGGAAATCAATTCCAGATCATTTGGATCTGTCCTACAGAATTAAATCTTTTAATTCTACACATAATGTATAGATTTGGGGCTACAAATAGAATTCATTAACTTGCTCAATTTGCTCACAGCCGGTGAACTAGAAATGGCAGCAGTGGACAATCCAAAGTCTGCCTACTAACTTCAGAACTCATAGCAACTTGTCCATACAATAGAAAGCTATATATTGTTTTATTTTCTAAGCATATATCTTAGATTTGAGTAATGCTTGGGGTATATAATGGACACCATAATGTTCTAGTAGAATAATCCCTTAAATTTATACTGCATTTGTCTTAAACTATTGCCCATTACATACATTTGAACTTTTTGAACATGATTTGAGCAACCTTTTGTCTATGCAATAAATGTTTTCCACTTCATAATCCTACACATAGCCCCCGTTTGTTTTCCATTCTTTTCCCATTAAAATTAAAAAATATGACCGTTATTCATTATATCAAGTCATCAAATTTGAATTTCTATCTCTTGTGTGGGGCCCATAACGGTTATATTCTTCATTCTCATTTTTAAAAAATGGGAAACAAACGCCCCCATGTAGTTATGCTGAGCAGCTAGTTTATATACACAAAAGAGGTAGTAGGGAATCAGTTTACATTCAATGCCATACAGATAATGTCAAAGCATTTTTCTTCTGTCATTTTCATCCTTTACCTATCTCTGCCCCAAGTTTCTTGTCAATTTCTCAATGTTAGTTCATGAGACATGAATACAAGCACAAAAGTGAGAAGCTTGCGGATTTAGCATGATATTGATGTGGGTCCCTCTGCTTCATTTCTACTGAAACTAGAGCTAGTAGACAAATTGACTGTAGTCCAATTCATTTATGCTGATTTAAACCAATTTTTATCATCCTTCTTTCTTTTAAGTGCTGTGAAAAAATTCACTTGCTCAGCTGCTAGATGCTACAAAATTTCTTGGTCTAGACTCTCTCTTAAGCTTTAGCCATGAGTCTTTACAGTCATGAATATGGATTTGCATATGAGTATTCATATATTTATTCACAGTTATGAATTGTGGAAACCATATCTCCGTGCTATGATGGAGAGTGATATGAAAGCCGTCAGCATGGGCACAAAGAGCAAAACTGAAGTTTTGGAAACTTGCCTACAGCAAATGAAAGCTTGTTTCGTAGATGTGAGTTAATCATTAATACATCAACCTAAACATTCTTTCTTCAAAATTAATTTTCTTTTGAAATGATGTCTCCTATCATTTTTTTTTTTTTTTCATTTTAGAACCAGGACATTTGGCACATGTTCTTTTCTTTTATTTTTCATGTAAAAATGTGCACTCTGGCATAAATTATATATTCTGGGTTTTCTTTGTCATCATGGAACTTGAATGGACCAATAATAGCAGCATGAAGGTTGATCTGCTGGTGCATGGATGATTACTTTATGCTTCATCAATATGAATTATTTTCTGATATGAGTGGAAAACCCTCAATTAAGATTGCAGATCAGACCACAGATGCTGATCCACATCTATTTAATGCTAATGTTATAATGAATGTCCACCATATGTATACGTTCTGTAATTTTTTTGGTACTCTTCACCGTTATGCAAATTTTATTTATATTTCTCTATGCAGGCCAAATCAAACAAAGAAAAGCTCTTTGAAGCCATGGCTGTGTTCTTTGAGAGGTAAATTTGTACTTTGTGGTGACAGAATATTGTACTTAACTGAGAATGTAAGCTGTATATGCAGATCAAACAGATCTAGTACCAATGAGCAGAACACAGTCGCTGAGGTTGTTCGGAGATGTAATATCTGCCAAGAATCAGAAATGGTTCTCAGGAGAAAACCGGTAATTACTTCCGCGACCAACTTGTTTAGAACAATGTTGTTAATGTTATACAGACAATCTCTTTTTAATTAGTTAATTTAGGCGGGATTTATGTGAAGGGTTTGTAAGGAATTGCATGGCAATCACTTGGGACAATTGGGCACAAGTATTTTAAGCGAATAATACAAAATACATGTTTCCCGGGCTAGTGGTTTGACATGGGTCCTTATAGGTGTTGTGATCACTATTGTTTCTCCCTAATGTCCACCTCTTGCTTATTTTTTTATTTTCTCTCCCTTTTCTGTGTTGAGAAGTGAAATCCCTTGTGATAAAGCAATTGACACCATATAAGTATCTTAGCTTACGAAAGAATGTAATGGCGTCTTAAACCCCAATTGATAGTTAAATATACTGCTCTGTTTGGTTATCACAATTGGATTGAGAAATCAGTGGATTTAGTTCTTAAGGTATTATCAGGCCCTCAAGTTTACTAGGAATAAAGCTTAGTTTGCTGCTATTGTTGTAGGTTTTAACACGTCCAAAAGCATCTTGTCTATTTGCTTGGTTACCAAGTCATAGTTTCAAAAGAATATTCCATCTTTGTTGGAATATCTTCATAAATGAAAAGAGAATTGAAAAAATTCTTGAGAAGTAATAAACTGCACCCACCAGTTTTTGGCAGTTCTTTATGAATACAACGTTCATATTTCTCCAAGAGCTCTATTTTTAATTTGCACTTTTCTCTCTCTTTTGGGTGAAACTTGTTGGCTTTTGAAAGGATCTGTCTTTTATCTGTTCTATTTGGAGCATTCTAGGCATAGTTGGTATTTCTTTGTCTGAGCATCTTATGATTACCCATTTTGCCTTTGCAGGACGGAAACTTCATGGTTGGGTGTACGGGCTTCCCACACGTAGGTGTCTCTCTTTAATAATTTGAAAAAGAAATTTTCGAACTTCTATTGACTTTTCAAAGAAGTATTATATGGACAAATTTTGTAATGAACCAAAGACAAGAACTGCTTCTCTCATTCCATTGAATTACTGATATAATAATATGTTTACAATTTTTATTGAGAAAATTAAGTAGTTGACATAACATCCCATCCCGCATTGGTTGTGTGATTACTTGGGTAGGCTACTACTTGACGATTGGGGATCAAGCATTTTGGCTAGTCATTTGGCTCCAAGAGTCCTGTACTAGTAAGTTTGCCCCGAGATGATTCACTTGAGTCTTTTGGCTAGTAAATTTGTCCAAGAAAGACTAGTTGGGTTTTCTACTTTTCCCTTATTATTTTCCACCTGATTTTCATCTACTGTCCTTTTCCCTATAAACTAATATAGGTGTATGTGGCATTGCATATTAGTAGTTCACTCTTTACATTTTAATAACTATAAGAAAAATAATACTGAAGTCATATGCTTTCCCAGAGAAAGTTAAGAGAACTTAAAATCTTGAAGTGGAGTCAACTTAGGAAAACTAGACAATATAAAGGACGCTGGTTAATTCTTTCCTCAATGTAAATATGTGAGATCATATGAATTGCACGTACCAATTTTCTATCATATCTCATCTGTTTTTCCTTTTCTTGTATTAATTAGTTTAAATCTCTTTCCCCATTTTTCTGAAGTTGGTTACTACCAACAAGTTTTAGCCTGTCAAGGCCTTAACTTCTACACTTGAAAGATAAATGCCTGGACTGGATAGGTGAAATTTGAAGAAACGGGTATATGATGCGACTTTTTATTCTTATGCCGAAAACAATTGGTCTGCGACTTTTTGTTTTTAAGCCCATAACAATTAGTTGGGCAGAAAATCCATGCCAGTCACATTGTATAATTTGGGTAAGGGCATTTTATTTTGGAAAGAAAATGATTATTTTGCCATTTTGTGGAAACGGGCAATTGTTTGTGTACATCTAGTCTCGAAATAAGGTCACCAAGCCATGGATAAAGGGAGTAAAATGCATAGATTGTATCATTGTGTAATGCTGTAATTTCCTTTAAAACGTGTGTTGTGGAAATGATGTATATTTCGAGTAATTCCATGTGTACAGTTATTTGTTTATCTAGTCAATAAAGAAGTCTTGCCCTATCAAGATAAATTGGGTATTTTGAGAAATTTTTTTACAAGATTTATAGTGTATACATCTATATGAAAAATTTAAAGGTGCGAGATATTGAGCTGTGTATTGTATATTTAATTTCCTTTTCTACTTATTTGTTATTGATTGTGGAGTGATATTTGGTGATCTGTTGCTCTATTCTAGACTGTAGATGGAATTTTGGTAAGAACAGACTTATAAAATGCAATCATAAACAATATTGATATATTTAGTGGAGAAATGAATAATAATAATAGCAAGATTTGTTGAATTTCAAACCGGTCACGATTCTAAAATTTAAT